CTCAACTCAGCCTCACGTCAGTTAGAAAATGTAATAGAGGTCGGATTGCCTTCTCCACCACAAAAGATTCTTTAATCAGCTGAGACAACACCAGAAATCAGCATTTAGCAAAATGTTAATGGTTCGCATAGCTGGTGGAACGCCTTTTTTAGAAAGGTTAATTACATCGTTCACACCATTAAAAGTTGAATCATTACACTTATAACATTGAGAGACTACATGAATGAGACATGTGAACATAGACGATGTGTGTCCTTTAACAAGAAATCCAAGACGTATTTTCTCCTCATAACAAAAGGGTATTAGATGTAATGGATGGATAGAGTATAATTACCATTCTCCTTAACTTTTTATAGAAATGAAGAAGAAACAGGTAATAATAGTTGACATTCATTCTAGAATAAGGCTTCTGATGGTCATCCCTTTAATGGTTTCTTTTCTACCGTTAAAATCTTTGACATTCACTCACAAGGTACCTCCTAAACATTCTTAACCCTAAATCTTATTTTCATAATGAGATAATCTTGTTGAAATAAACTTCTTACCATTTAATCGTGAATTTTCAAGCTTCAGAGAGACTGTACAACTATTCTCCTTGTGGGGTAACATTTTAAGAATTTTCATCAATTTTGCAATTTTTTTTATTTACTATGAAGATTAAGAGAGAGACTAGTGCATATTCTGTTGTAAGGGTTTCTCGCTTAACTCCGCGAGTGACTTCCTCGACTATGATTTTGTGTCTCAACTGAGTAACCCAAGGCCAATGTCGCTGTCAGGACCCCAACAAAGCAGCTCTCTCTTTTATCTTTACCATTTAAAAATTTAAAAAAGATTTCCAACCACCACAGCAATTCCATAAACCTTTCACAGGCCATAAAATTTTTCATAGGTAAATTATACTTGAATGATTTCATAAGGAGTGAAGATTGATATGACCTTCTGCAAGTTGATCGTAACGTTTATGATGGAAAATTCATCATAAAGGCGCGACCGCTGTTGTTCAGTCATTTTTATGAATTCTATTCAACCACCTTCACATATTTCGGAACCTGTTCTTGTGGTATTTAATCTTAATTGTGATGGCTCACGTTGTCTCTGCAACAGTTCTAGGTCAACCATCGAAATTTCCAGGATGTTAATCCCAGTAAGCATTTTGTTGCTTCTAATCACTTATGCCACTAAACAAGATTCATTAGAGGATGATCCTAAGATATTTGAGGTCAGTTGTATCTCAAATTTTTCATTGTTGATGTATTTGTTAATAACCTACAAAATTCTACAAAATAGGTGGAATAGAAATTAACTTCTCTAATTTTTCAGGATTTAACAAATGAGTCAATTACTCGCCTCGGGCTATTCGAACCGCTGCCGCCTTTGCCGCAGATGACCAGTGTACGACGCGTAATACCGGGGCCTCCAGGTTTGTTCATTATTTTCTAAGAAACCTCACTGTTGCATTCTGTCCGGTTACTCGAGCGATTCTACCGTAATTGGTGGGTCAATGTAGTACAAAGTGCGATCCCAGATACAAGGCGATTCTAGTTCACACACCTCTCTTTCAGCCTTACATATTTTTTATACAGTGCGTTTACGGTAGATTTCCTCCTGCAAAATTTGGAAAATCCCATTGAATTAGTCATTTTATATATTTAGAAGAACCTTAGCAGATATATGCTTTTAAGGCATCAGACCACCGCCAGGATTCAAAGAACAAGAATTCGGCGAAGAAATGGTGGTAAGTGAAAGGATCCGTTTTTAATTTTGGCCATTTACGTCATTTTTATAAAGAAAACCTTGCGAAATCACAAGCCATCTTGCTTTTTTCCTTTTTTGGTTTCTTAAGATTTTACCATTAGAGTAGATCACTAATATTTATTCACCAAGACACTCTTTTTGTTCCTCCCACTTTTTGGCTCAGGTGGTTTCTGCCAATGGAAGCACGAGGATAATGGGAGTTTCTCGACGGAAACCGCGACCAGACGAATCTGTGGGAGATGAGGAAGACTAATACATTATAAAAGAAACAGATAAACTTTGACAATTTCATAGCCTTTATGTTATCTTAATAAAACCTAACATTTCGTCTTCTTTCTAAAAAAAGTTTAATGAGCACAAAAATATGTTATATACATACGATCG